AACCGCAAGCCTTGTTCGCAAAGCCGCTGCCAAGAGACGCTGTCGTAAAACCCATTAATGTCAACAAACAACGAGACAGTGCGCAAACCCTTGACTCTGGCGGATTCTTTGGAGCATTTCCTGGCCAGGGCAACGTCCAACGAGGTTCGACCTGGAATCGCCGAGTCAAAAGGATGATCCGGGATGTAGGAGTCCAGCCACTGGCTGACCAAGAATCGCCGAGTCTTACACCAAAGCCGCCACAGGACCGATGTAAGACCGATAGGTCTTTCCTTCAAGGCACTCTTGGCCAGAAGAACAATCTGGACCTGGGAGACTTGGAGGGGAATGGCAAGGTCCTCCTCCATTTTGTTGAAGACGTTGGCTAGGACTGCATACGCGTCCCGAGGCAGGTCTCGAAGATCATTGAAATCCCAGCCGTCCGGGCCTCCTTTTTTGGGATTCCTAGCGGCGCATATCTTAGCGACAGAGCTAGCAGAATGCTTGGGCAGGGAACGGACCTGCTCCCGGGCTAAGTCAGCCAATGCGTCCCATACTTCCCCTTGGAGGGGAGCTGGCGACACCAGGTTACCCTGCCAGACCTCGCACCAAAAGTCGAGCCGTTTATAGGGCCGCGCCAGGGGAGTGAACTTTGGATACGGCCGTTCCAAGGTTTGCTCATCAGCTCGAAGGGAGCGGTAAAGGGGGCGGAGGTGATCATTTTGCGCCTCTTCTAGCCACTTGGAGTAAGACTCGGAGTTCTGGGAGGTCTGGGAGGCTAAAGCTTCCTCATATTTTGCCTCAACCTGGGGCACCAACTCCCGGGTGAGGCTGCTGCGGTCATCAGCATGAACCCAGTCCTTTAGGACGGGGAGAAGGGGATCGTCCGGAGGGATGGAGGCGAAGGCTTCGAGGATTTGGGGACCATCCCTGTCTGGAGCCAGGTGCGCCATCTATCCCAGATAGCCATAGGCCCTCCTGTCCAGGCACCTCCGCCAACTGGGTGCGAGGCCAACGGTCTGCGGGGAAGGTCGACCCACCAGCCCTTTCCTATGGTGGCCTGGGCCTCCGACTGAAGGTCGCGGGACCATTGGCCCAAGGCGAGAGAGGACTCCTCCTGTGACGCCACATCCAAGATCTGGACCAGCTGGACTGGGGTGCTTGCGTGGTAGGAGGAGGGGGCCGGGGACACCACCGACCTGATGGTGGGGACTCTCAACTGGACGGAGTGCACTGGCACGTCCAAGGTTAGAAGGCCGTGAGGCTTGAAAGGAGTGTCAAAAGACAGCCGGACCGTCGACAGGGACTGGAGACTGGGGTGGACGACGAAGAAGTCAATCTCGGAGTCCCCTCCCGCCGTAGGAGACCCACTGCCCACCACCCGGCCCTGCCACCTTTCTTCATACCTGGAGTTAAGGAAGTCCTGATTGAAATCAACCCCTTTGGAGCGCAACGCCACAATGACATAGCCGCAGCCTTGCGAGGCGTGGAAGGTCACTAGAATCCTGGGCCCCAAGTGATTTTTGACCGCAATCCCTACTCCTCCTAGGGGGTTGCCTTTTGCACTTTTCGGGCTAGCAACACCAAAGAGCACAAACCCCAAATTCAGCAAATGACGGGTCTCAGTCTTAAGGTCCTCTTTGGTGAGGTGAAGTTCTTGCAGCATAAGAATGTCCGGGGACAAGGTATGGGCCCATTTCCGGTGACTCGACCGCCATCGGGTGACATTGGCCGAACAGACCTTGAGATTCCTAGGCTTAATTTCGTAAGAGTTGGCAGAAAGATCCTCCGAACCTCGAAGGACAAAAACCCAGTCACTTGGGCTCGGGTTGGGGGAAGCAAGGGCCTGAAACATTTTGTGGACCACCAAGTACTCCAAAGTCAGGGGGTCGGTGGGTTCGTCATCTTCGAAAAGGCCGACCATGCTAGACTCCACCGACAGAAAGCCCTGCTGAAAGCCCCGGGACACCAAACCCGCTAACTGGCCCCACTTCTCCGTTTTTTCATGCTGAGTTGCCGTGTTCCAGGCTACGATAGCTGAATCCAAAGGCTCCCTAGCCTTGAGAGGCCGGGCCGTCCTGTTGCGACGTCGTCGGGTTCTTCTGCTGCGACAAGACGACTGGGTACCTGTGGGTCGAGATCCACCTCCTGAGGCGAGGGGAACAAAAGTGCTGGGGGTTTCATACAACTGCATGTCGCCCAAAGCCTCCAGAGGAAAATACCTCGGCCCCGTCACCAAGGGATGGTGGACCACCTCATATTGGCATAGCGCTGCTAAAGAAATTGGGACTGGTGAGGGATCTTTGGCTGGTACACATTCCGCTCCAAGCGAAACCTGCCCCAAGCCCAAATCCCACTCCTTCTGGAGGGGCAGACCCTGACACATGCCACACAGAACCGCGTGTCTAGATGACCGGGTGTATCTTGGAAGCTCCACCAGGCAACTCTGACACTCAGGCACTACGGCACATTCATGGGAAGCCCATCCTCGGCACAGCCGACACAAAACTGCAAGCGCGAGACCATCCCCTACCTGGAAAAGGGTGTGGCACGGGTCCTCCCCGGCCTGACACCTGCAGACCTCACAACAGCTAAGGCTGAAAACATCTGCTTGGGAAGGGGAGTGGCAAAACGTCTCGGGCAAGGTGACAAAATTTTGGCCAAGGGGAAAAACACGGGTTGTCGGGGAGAGGGACGGCTCTGACAAGTGCGGGGGAAACAGGTGATCCCTGGAATCCAAAACCCCCAACGCCCTACAAGCCCCGAACCCAGCTCCCTCACCCGTCTGCGATGCCTGACCCGGGGCCTGGCCCCCCACTGGTCCCCCTGGCGGGGTTCGACTGCGGCCTCTTGCTGCGAGGTCAGGCATTGTCGAAGCCTGCGAGGGCGGCAGACCCGGGGGAAGGCCTGGATCGACCTGCATGCGTCTGCGCTTGGCTTCATCGGACTTAAGAGCTTCCAGCTTTCTCTTTTGCTCCTCGGTAAGGCTGGCCTCTTGCATACCCAAGGCCTGCAAAACAGATTCCACTCCATTGCTGACCTCTTCCGCGCAATGCTTGACCACCTTGTCCTCATATTCCTTGGTGGCCTTTGCGACCTCCACCTTTGCCTCCTCGATGGCAAGCTGGATGTCCTGCATCTTGTGGAGCATTGCTCGCAAAGTGTCCTTTGCTGTGTCAATCTCCTCCTGCAGCCTCAGTTTCCTCTGGCCCAGATCACGGAGCTTGCCCACCGAGCTGCGAAGAACATCCCCAGCCTCCTTGCCCTCCTGGCGAGGGTCCGGGGTTGGGGTGGCCGGCAGGGCGTCCACGATGACCTGGGGAAGGTCTCCGACATGCTGCTGCAGGAGCGCAACAAGATCCACATCCTCTGTGCGAGCCGGCTTGGCTTCAAACCCTGCTTCTTTCAGCTGCACACAGGCCTCGTCAGGAAGAGTGTCCCATACCTTCCGCAAGCAGTCATGGACCTTATTGGTCTTGGGCTTGCGAGGTCGGGGTTTCGGCTCCGGCTTGGTCCAGATCTTGGGATTGGGCACATCCGTTGGCCACTTTGTTCCGCACCACTGACACTTGGGGAACTTGAGCACCTTTGCCGCGAAAATCCAGCTGGCCGGGCCACACTTCTTGCAAACGTGATAACGTCCACCAGCCATGGTGACTGCGAAGAGGCCCCGAGCCCTAAAGGCTGGGCTCAGATGTTGGACTTGTTGAGTTCGGCACACCACCTCTGCCGGCGAGCCTCCGACAAAAGTTTCCCGGCGTCGGCAATCCAATCGTTCCGGGTCTTGGACCAGCGAGCCAAAGCACGGAGTTGGTTTGTGACCCTCTGCCCCGGTGTGAGGTCGCGGGCACTGGGCTGTTCCTCAAACTCAGCTTGCAAATAGGACCTGATCGAGTCCTCCAAGGGCGCCCTCTCGGCTACCCCAAAGCGCTGCACCTCAGGGGTGCGGGATCGCTCTCTGCCCGCCGTGGGTTTGGAGGACCACAGCCCTAAGGCCGGGAGAAAACAGGCCCGAGCCCTGAGGCTGGGTGAGTGCAAGGCAGCCGCAGCCCTAAGGCTGGGTGAGTGCTATGCAGCCACAGCCCAGAGGCCGGGTGGGTGCTCAGGCACAGTATGGCTCAAGCGAAAAGGCCGAAAACAAAGGGGGCCTGGTACCTTAACCCAGTTGAGGCCCAGAACCTGGTTCACAGCTAAACGCTCAGCTACTTTGCCTACCCCACCGGGGTTTGAGCAGAAACTTGAGCCAGGTGAATTTTACACCACGCGCACGAGGCGGCCGTAGGCCTTTGGAGTCACATTGGCTCAGGTGAAACAGTCGGGGGACACCTACCCTGTGGCCACAATGGCTCAGGTGAAACAGTCGGTGGAACACCTACCCTATGGTACACAAGAGCAACTACTGCCGGCTCATATGCAGGCTGGATCACCACGCCTTAGGCCTGGTAACACCACTGGCCTTCACAGCACCCTTCTAGCCTGGAGAGGTTAGGCCGGGTAACACATGCCAGTGGCTCAGCATAGAGGTGCGTATGCAGTTCCACACGTCAACCCAGGCTGGCCCCAGGTGACATGGTCTGGAGAACCCAAGACCTGACTGACACAACAAGCCTGGGCCCAAGCCTATTGGTGAGCCAGTGCAGCAAGGTGAGCGTCGGCCGTTCATGAGGACCATTTGGATTTCCAAGTTTGCCTTGAGCGCATCGGGGAGAATCGCAATGATATCGTTGAGGCAAGGGACCACCTCCTGCCTGCGGAGATACGGCTCCAAAGGCGTGACGTCACAGACACATCGAAGGGTCTCGATGAAGCTGCGCAAGCTATACTTGGGAAACCAACTTCCAGCATTGAGCCCTTCGAAGTGCCAATCCGCGAGATCGAAAAAGCACAACATGGGCGTCGCAGCACTGAGTCCTGGTTTAATGCCCAGGTTGGTTTTTGACACATCACGAAGAGCAAAGTGACGGCTCAATTGCAAAAGGAGGGCGAAGGCATACAAGGACCACTGAGGGTGGATCTGGTTCCTAGCAAGCCACCAAATGGGACCTGAACTCCCATGGTCGCCCAGAGAGCAGCACCTGCAGTGTCGTTGATCCAGCCCCAATGATGGTGGCTGCCACCTTAGGAAGCAAGGCCGAAATCGCCACCTCATCCCCAAACGCCTGCTTCGTCCCAACCTTCAAGACGTAGCCACCGCCAACATCATATCCGTACCTGGTTCTTCCATTGTGGATATACGCCGCAGTGCTGTCCCCCGTGTCATTGAACCACACGTGGATCAGGTCCTTGGGGAGGGCCTGGAAGACACCAGCATAGCCCAGATCGGATTTGAAAGCCACCAAGCCTGGCTTGGTATTGCGAGCCCTCTCAGCAATAGCAAAGGCTGCGCCCGCTTCCTGATCCATAGCATCAAAGTTCAACGGGGCGGGCAGCATAGGCGCAGCTGGCGGTGCTGGGGGAGGCTCCGGATGCACAATGGGATCAGGCACCATTGGCTCCTCCTCGCTTTCTTCAGAGCAGCTGTCCTGGTCTGGGGCACCCAAAACCGGACCAGCCCCAGGTGCATGGGGATTCTCCCGAAGGACAATTCCAGGAGCTTCATCCCTCTCAGCCTGGTTTGCCACCACGGCTGGGGGGCGGTGCACAGGATTGTGCTGCTCAAGCTGAGGATTTTCCCGAAGCACGACTCCAGGATTCCTCATCCCCTGAGCCTGGTTATCCACCAAGGGCTCAGGGGGTTGCACGTGTTGTGGCCCGGGCTCAGGGGCTTGCTCGTCCTGTGGTTCCACCCTTCTCCGCCTAGGAGGCGGGGGGTTCAGCCCAGACTGCTTCGATTTTGATTTGGGTTTCGGTTTCGGGAGCACGTTCCGGGCATGTGGTTCCTGACTGGCCGTAGGCTGGAAGAAAGACTTCACACTCCTAACACCAGTGTCAGTCACCTCCTTCGCCTTTTTGGAACTAGCCGTTGCAGCTTTACTCACATTAGGCTTACAGGGTTGGCCAATCCAAGAGGGAATTTTGCGGGCTCCTACCTTGACCATCCTGTCACACTTGGAACAAACCCACGACACCCCCAAATTAACCCACACGTGGTCAGGGTGAGGGCCCCATGGGGGGGGGTCAGCTGGGACTCCAAGGCACGGGTGCGAGGACTTAACGGAGAAGGCATGAATGGGGTCTGTCTGCTGGATATACAGTCCACACTTCGAACATTTAGCAGTCAGATTAGACGGCTTCCGACTCCCTTCAACCCAAGCATGCCCTAGCTGTTGTTTACCAGCAATCAAGTTTTCAAGTTGCAGCCGCTTATTAGGTCCCTTTTCCTTTGAAAATTTCTTCGTTTTGATGACAGCAGAATCACGAACACGAGGCTTCGCCCGAGCTTTCCGCTGGTCCTCATCCGGCCACTGCACCTGAGGGCCCTGGTCCTTGTCATAAGAGAAAAGGGCTGCAGAGCGCTTGGCCAACAAGGTGTTGACCTGAGTGATCACAGCATCCAGCTTCTTGATGCTGGACTCATAGATGGGATCTCTTCTTTGTTCAGCCGCTTCACCCACCAGGCGGTCGACCAGCTCATTGGCCCGCCTGCGCCAGAGTTGGTTGGCACCAAACCGCGCAATGAACTTGGGAACCGAAAGGTGCGACGCAATCCAAGTGGGGCGGATTCTGTGGGAATGCTCCCTGATGGGCTCGAAAAGATCAGCCGAATGGATGGAAGGTTTCCCCTGGATCCTAGGGAGAATCCCTTTACAATCCATTGTGAGGTCAACATCCCCTTGAGTGTGCTCGGCAACAAATTTAACAGCAGCCGCCTCCGCCCGGAACACCGAAAGCGGGGTTTGCAAGGTACCAACCGCCGTTGCAATAACAGCAGGTTCAGCATCATCCAGTCTAAAGGCAATTGCAGCCCACGTGTAGCGATGGAATCGGACATCCTTGGATCGGCCTGGGGAGCCATCGGTGGCAAAATAAACCCCTTCTCCACTGATGAGCTGAGATTCATTCCACGCCCCCGTTGTGCGCACCCATTGGCCATCGTCAGGGTAGGAGGTGGCCGGGGTCATCCCCCTAGACCATAAGGAGGAAATCGGCCACTCTTTTCTGAATCTTTCAAAAGCAGGGGGCTCTGGGAGGTTGGTTAGCCACCAGGAACACTCCCATAGCACATGATTCAAAGTTGCAGCGCATCCACACGTGAGGCAGGTCGCACATGGGTCTGCCCGGATTGCACCCTGCCACACCGCCATGAGCGATGTTTTGTGCTGCGGCGGCAGCCTACTTCTAAGCTTTTTGAGCGGGTGCCAATCGATTCCAGTCAAGAGGGGCGAGAGGGAATCCTGCTGGGCAATGCGAGTATGCCTCCACCTATCCGTTTCCAAGGCAAGGGAGCACAGTAGATGGTGCATGCCGACCTTAGTGGTGATCTGACATGTGTCTTCCGGGCATTTCCATGCTGATGCACTGACCGGGGTCCAACCCAAGTCAACCAGGTAACACAGCAGTGCCCCTACTGGACCAGCAGCGCGCTTCCAGGGATTTTCGGCTTGCTGGTACTCCATCCACATGTCAGGCAGTATGTCCTCAAAATGCTGTTTTTGCCTGTCAGGGATAAAACACAGCAACCGGTGGATCGCTTTGAAGTGCTGGGAGATAATCGTGTAAGCCGGGTCCGGTCGCTTAGGTGCGGCATGGTCGATCGTCAGATCCACCGAACCCAGCGACATGCGCCTAACCCCCTTACCAAACCTTTTCCGGTGCACCGGGATACGTCTCCTTCGACCAGCAGTGCAATCAATGCCCAAGTCCTTGGCAGCATCCTTGATTTGTTCAGACGCAGGAAGGTACCCTTTTAAGGCAGCCTCAACCTTCCTTGACGAACACACAAAGGCCGTCTTGCCAATGCTGATGGGAAGTCCAGCTTGCTCTAAGCCCCCCACCACAGCTTTGTACAGCTGCGCTGCCCTTCGCGCAGCTAGCTCAGGGCTAGCAGCTTCAGTGTCAAAACTGGTGTCATCGACATAAAGGTCAATGGTTTTGGCTAGCCCCGTATTCCATGCCGGGCGTAAAATGCTGTCAAAGGGGATCTTGCTGAGTCCCGGGGCAAAGGGGCAACCAGCTACCAAGCCCTTCGTCGGCTTGATAGGCCCAGAGATACATTTTTCAGCACTGATCCATCTCGGCGCACTGTAAAGTGAGATTGCAGCATTTAAAATGAGCGGGGGTACCTCAAGGGCAAGGGCCTGGGCCACAAAAGTGTGGTGAGAGACATTCTCATAAAAGGCTTTCAGGTCCAAAAGCACCGTTACACCGTGTCTCTTTTTTCGGTACAGAATCTCATGAGACATTTTCCGGCGCAACGCAACATCAAGACTTGATAAGCCCTTCTTAGCGCGGTCCCAGTCTTGGGTGGCGGCATACTTATCAAGCCATGCTTTGAAGACCGGCCATCGGAGTTTGGCCCATAAGCGATATGGCACAGGAGTCAGTCCTATCGGTCGCTCCTCATCCTCAGACTTGTTGATGAGAGCGACAAGAACAAGAGAAAGTTGGGCCGGGAAACAACCTTGACGTTCCCAGGTGTTGAAGAACGCAGCCAACCTTTCCAATTGCACTGGGGCCAACTTCTGCAGCATCTGTACACTCCAACCGTCAGCACCAATGGCTTTCTGGGGCATTTTCTTAATGGCTTTCTCAACCATAGAGCCAGTAATCGGCTGGAGCGTCCTGGCTTGGGCAACTGCTGCGTGTTGTACCTCGCGCCAATCAATTAAGAGGTTGTCTCCATTTCCTGGCAGAGGCCGCCATACTTCAGCCCAATGTGCCCTGCGTATGTGCGGCCGAATTTCAAGGGGGATGTGTCTGTACGGTCTGTCCGGAATCATATCCTCAGACTTAAGAGCCCTATACAGACCTCTCATACCTCCTTTACACGCCGCTTCCAGCCATTGACTATAGGCCTCTTCACTCTGCTTGACGGCTTCCTTCAGAGCGGCTCGCCCTTGGAGCCCAATGATGTCAAGAGCTTGCATGTGACTTTGAAGGTCATCTGCATCAAGCAGGCGTTGCAAGGCTTGGAGAGTGTGTGGTGGCATGTCGATCCAGTGATCGTTCATCCTTGTTCTCGCCTGAGTGAAGAGCGACATCACTCTGACTTCAGGGTTACTTCCAAGTGCTTTTGAAGTCCAGAGGAGGAAGGACTGCCAAAAGGCCGGCCTCGAGCCTTTCCAAATTTTTTCCGGGCTGCTGGTTTTAACAAGGGGAAGGAACGTGTCTTCCAGTTTCCACCCACGACCAGCTGCAGCAGAAAAGAGTTGCTCCTCAACCCCAGCACTGAAGGAAGCCCACTCATGGTCAAGTGGTTGGGAGGTATCCCACAAACCACGCGCTTGAGCCTCAGGGAGAAGCAACTCATCAGGGCATGATGCGGTTGGCTCAAGGGAGAATCCCTTCAGTTGCCGGAGAGGCAGGTCCACCACCTCAAGCCTCAGCTCAACGGTAACCGCTGCGTGGGGTTTAAACGGAACGTCCCAACAAGGAGTAAGTGTAATGGCCGGCGCTAGATTGGCCGACGCTAACGCATAATCCAAAGTTCCCCCCGTATTGATTGTGGGGCTTGTCGGCACCGCCAACCGGCCCTTAACCATGGTAGGGTATCCATGTCGTAGGAGTTCATCAGGAGGGCAGTTCCAATCACCAAGAACCAGCCAGGGCGTGCTGGTTTGGCTAAGGAGCGCAGCCAGCCTCCTAAAAATCTCCGGGTTAACCCCTCCGGTCGGGCCCACACCGGACTGGAGGTAAAGGTTGACCAGGAGGAGGTCCCAACCCCTAAACCTAATTGAAACTGACACAAACCCTTTGCCATCCAAGAGGAAAGCCGGGCCAGTCGCCGCATTGCGATGGGAAGGAGCCAGGGTGAGGAGGCCCCCTGAAGATCCTCCCTGGGTCGGTGCAGCAGGGCCCGCCCAAGCTTGCTTTCCAACAGATTGGAATTTGTTCACCAGGGCTCTGGTGTCTGATTCAGTGACATGTGTCTCCTGCAAAAGCCAAAAGGACTCATCCCGATCCACCAACCAAGTTCGAATCTCACTTCGATAGGTGGTGATATTGGCCTGACCAATCAGCAGAAGCTTGCTATCTGACCCCTTTTTACAGAAGCCAGCTAGCACAGCGTCAACAGCCTCAATCATACCCAGGGTGTCATCCTTGGATTGCTCAAGGAGCTGGCAGATCCGGTTCAAAGTCCATTCCTCTAAAGACCCTGACTCATAATGACCGCCAAAGTCCTCAATCCACTGGAGCAGATCAGCCTCTTTGGCGGGCATATCCATCACAGGTGCAGCCTCAAGGATGTGTAGGAGGGCCTTCCACTCCTGAACCTGTTTTTTGTTGGCTTGACTGGTCCTTTGGTTCGACACGGTGCTCTTCCGGGGCTTGGGACTAGGGGAGGCCTCAAGTGTGTCCAAGGATGACACAACATGATCTGCATCATCAAACACGGCCCTGGAGAAGTACTTGGGCCCAGAGGTCTTCAAGGGGGAAGCCTTGCAAGGGGACTCCGGTTTGAAAGTTCCGGGGGGGCATCCAGTGCTTCTGCCTTCCTCCGCTTGGAAGCATGCTCGGCCTGGATGGCCTTCCAGGTGGCCTGCTGCTCCTGGGTCAGCTGGACTCCAAGCTGTCCCAAAACCGCTTCCACATCCATAGGATCTGTGCCATCCTCCGTCTTAAGCACTTTCTCATGGTAGTCACCTCCAACTTTCTCAACCTTTTGCTCAGCATCTTTGATCTCCGCCTGCAAGTTTTGCATCTGCGAAAGCAAGGCAGTGAAGGCAGTCTTTGCATTGTCAATTCGTTGCTGCAGGAGCAACTTGCGATGGCCAAGCTCCCGTAGCTTTCCAACTGCAGTTTTGAAAGCGTCCTGGGTGGCAAGTGCAACTTCGAAAGGCTCCGGGTCCCTCTTGTCAAGCTCGAGCTTGATCTCGGCAGGCAGGGCTTCTTTGTGCTGCATGAGCAGCTTAAGCAGCGGGTCTTCATCTTCAGCAGGCTCCGGTGGGGCCAGCCCATTCTTCTTGAGCACCTGCTGCACTGCTTCAGGCAAAGAACCCCAGTGCTCACCAAGGACCTGCACACCCTTAAAGCCCTTGGATGGCTGGGTTTTTGCAGGCTTGGTCGGCTTGGCAAAAACGGCACGCTTCTGGGACCATTGGTACGACCCCAGGTCCGAATCCTGGGTGTACTGCGACTCTTGCAAAGGCCATGGTTGCCCACATCTGCAAAACGGGCGGTGCTTGATTTTGTGGTTGTAAATCCAAGAGTCGTTGCAAAACTGGCACACAGTGTAGCTTCGCGATCGAGGCATGATCACCACAGCTGACTGCAAGCTGACACACCAGTGCACTGGCTTTGAAAGCTGGATCTAGGATCTCAACCACACCACAGGACCCAAGGGTTCAGCTGGGACACCCAAGCCTCACCACAAGGGTGTGGATTTTGTGCAGCAGTTCCCACAAAGGTTGCTCAAATGCTATGGCTCGAGAGGCTCAACCTGGGATTGAGACAAAGGCCTGTTACCCCACAGAGTTCAGGACTAAAGCCTCAGTTCACAGCAAGCTCCCTACCACAACACAGGCAAAAGGCCTTGAGCAGTAAAACTTGAGCCACCAGGTGAATTTTACACCACGCGCACGAGGCGGCCGTAGGCCTTGGGAGTCACTTTGGCTCAGATGAAACAGTCGGGGGGACACCTACCCTGGTAACATTGGCTCAGGTGAAACAGTCGGGGGGACACCTACCCTATGGTACACAGAGCAAACTACTGCCGGCTCATCAGCAAGGCTGGCTCACCACGCCTTTAGGCCTGGCAACACCACTGGCCCTCACGACACCCCTGCCAGCCTGGTCCAAGCTTAGGCCGGGTAACACATGCCAGTGGCTCAGCATAGAGGCGCGTATGCAGTTCCACACGTCAACCCAGGCTGGCCCCAGGGGGAATGGTCTGGAGAACCCAAGACCTGACTGACACAACAAGCTTGGGCCCAAGCCTATTGGTTAGCCAATGCAGCAAGGTGAGCCCAATCCGAAAGTCGGCCATTCATGAGGACCATTTGGATTTCCAAGTTTGCCTTGAGCGCAGCAGGGAGAACCGCAATGATATCGTTGAGGCAAGGGACCACCGCCTGCCTGCGGAGATACGGCTCCAACGGCGTGACGTCACAGACACATCGAAGGGTCTCGATGAAACTGCGCAAGCTATACTTGGGAAACCAACCTCCAGCATTGAGCCCTTCGAAGTGCCAATCCGCGAGATCGAAAAAGCACAACATGGGCGTCGCAGCACTGAGTCCTGGTTTAATGCCCAGGTTGGTTTTTGACACATCACGAAGGGCAAAATGACGGCTCAATTGCAAAAGGAGGGCGAAGGCATACAAGGACCACTGAGGGTGGATCTGGTTCCTAGAACCAAAATCCGTGAGGAGCTCGACTTTTTCCACCATCGACCACGCCACCAAATGGGACCTGAACTCCCATGGTCGCCCAGAGAGCAGCACCTGCAGTGTCGTAGATCCAGCCCCAATGATGGTGGCTGCCACCTTAGGAAGCAAGGCCGAAATCGCCACCTCATCCCCAAACGCCTGCTTCGTCCCAACCTTCAAGACGTAGCCACCGCCAACATCATATCCATACCTGGTTCTTCCATTGTGGATATACGCCGCAGTGCTGTCCCCCGTGTCATTGAACCGCACGTGGATCAGGTCCTTGGGGAGGGCCTGGAAGACACCAGCATAGCCCAGATCGGATTTGAAAGCCACCAATCCTGGCTTGGTATTGCGAGCCCTCTCAGCAATAGCAAAGGCTGCGCCCGCTTCCTGATCCATACCATCAAAGTTCAACGGGGCGGGCAGCAGAGGCGCAGCAGGCGGTGCTGGGGGAGGGTCCGGATGCACAATGGGATCAGGCACCATTGGCTCCTCCTCGCTTTCTTCAGAGCAGCTGTCCTGGTCTGGGGCACCCAAAACCGGACCACCCCCAGGTGCATGGGGATTCTCCCGAAGGACAATTCTAGGGGCTTCATCCCTCTCAGCCTGGTTTGCCACCACGGCTTGGGGGCGGTGCACAGGATTGTGCTGCTCAAGCTGAGGATTTTCCCGAAGCACAACTCCAGGATTCCTCATCCCCTGAGCCTGGTTATCCACCAAGGGCTCAGGGGGTTGCACGTGTTGTGGCCCGGGCTCAGGAGCTTGCTCGTCCTGTGGTTCCACCCTTCTCCGCCTAGGGGGCGGGGGGTTCACACCAGCAGGCGGCGCTCGCATCTTAGGAGCTGCACCTCTAAGCCGAGCTCTCTCACGCTTGCCCGGCCGGGCTTTTGAGTACGCCTTAGAGGCAGGGGACTTATGCTTCGGCGGCATACTTAGAAGGCAATCTTAGCTTGCTTGAGCCCAGACTGCTTCGAGTTTGATTTGGGTTTAGGTTTCGGGAGCACGTTCCGGGCATGTGGTTCCTGACTGGCCGTAGGCTGGAAGAAAGACTTCACACTCCTAACACCAGTGTCAGTCACCTCCTTCGCCTTTTTGGAACTTGCAGGGTTGGCCGATCCAAGAGGGAATTTTGCGGACTCCTACCTTGACCATCCTGTCACACTTGGAACAAACCCACGACACCCCCAAATTAACCCACACGTGGTCAGGGTGAGGGCCCCATGGGGGGGGGTCAGCTGGGACTCCAAGGCACGGGTGCGAGGACTTAAGGGAGAAGGCATGGATGGGGTCGGTCTGCTGGATATACAGTCCACACTTCGAACATTTAGCGGTCAGGTTAGACGGCTTCCGACTCCCTTCAACCCAGGCATGCCCAAGCTGTTGTTTACCCGCAATCAAGTTTTCAAGTTGCAGCCTCTTATTAGGTCCCTTCTCCTTTGAAAACTTTTTCGTTTTGATGACAGCAGAATCACGAACACGAGGCTTCGCCCGAGCTTTCCGCTGGTCCTTATCCGGCCACTGCACCTGAGGGCCCTGGTCCTTGTCATAAGAGAGAAGGGCTGCAGAGCGCTTGGCCAACAAGGTGTTGACCTGAGTGATCACGGCATCCAGCTTCTTGATGCTGGACTCATAGAGTGGGTCTCGTCTTTGTTCAGCCGCTTCACCCACCAGGCGGTCGACCAGCTCATTGGCCCGCCTACGCCAGAGTTGGTTGGCACCAAACCGCTCAATGAACTTGGGAACCGAAAGGTGCGACGCAATCCAAGTGGGGCGGATTCTGTGGGAATGCTCCCTGATTGGCTCAAAAAGGTCAGCCGACTGGATGGAAGGTTTCCCCTGGATCCTAGGGATAATCCCTTTACAATCCATAGTGAGGTCAACATCCCCTTGAGTGTGCTCGGCAACAAATTTAACAGCAGCCGCCTCCGCCCGGAACACCGAAAGCGGGGTTTGCAAGGTACCAACCGCCGTTGCAATAACAGCGGGTTCAGCATCATCCAGTCTAAAGGCAATTGCAGCCCACGTATAGCGATGAAATCGGACATCTTTGGATCGGCCTGGGGAGCCGTCGGTGGCGAAATAAACCCCTTCTCCACTGATGAGCTGAGAATCATTCCACGCTCCCGTTGTGCGCACCCATTGGCCATCGTCAGGGTAGGAAGTAGCCGGGGTCATCCCCCTAGACCACAAGGAGGAAATCGGCCACTCTTTTCTGAATCTTTCAAAAGCAGGAGGCTCTGGGAGGTTGGTTAGCCACCAGGAACACTCCCATAGCACATGATTCAAAGTTGCAGCGCGTCCGCATGTGAGGCAGGTCGCACATGGGTCTGCCCGGATTGCACCCTGCCACACCGCCATAAGCGATGTTTTGTGCTGCGGCGGCAGCCTACATCTAAGCTTTTTGAGCGGGTGCCAATCAATTCCAGTCAAGAGGGGCGAGAGGGAATCCTGCTGGGCAATGCGAGTATGCCTCCACCTATCCGTTTCCACGGCAAGGGAGCACAGTAGATGATGCATGCCGACCTTAGTGGTGATCTGGCATGTTTATGCCAAAGATGAAGTCCATGTTCGAATATATGTTGCCGAAACATATTAAAGCAAATTGTTGAAAACAGCAATCTAGAATCAACAGCACGCGGACAGCAATCCCTTGTTTTTCTCTGCCTTCGCAACGCGAAAAGGGGAATGGTACACATGACATCGCGTGGCATGGAGCCACTCCCACATTTCAAACACAAGAGGTGGCATAGAGCCACCAGCCTTCTTTCCCCGGGTGGGAGGGTGGGGAACAAAAATTTTTGCCAGCTTGCTGCGAGCAAGAACCTTGACCCATTCAACATGCAATTCACATGTAAATATTCATGCAACAAATCTCATGAGAGTGCATGCACGGGTCAGACGAAAATTCCCAGCAGAACAACATGTAGAACATGGACACAAAAATTCACATCAAAGAATTTTTGAGTTCATCTGGCATAAAACGCTGTCACACAAGTGTGAAAGCTTGCTTATGCCAAAGATGAAGTCCATGTTCGAATATATGTTGCCGAAACATATTAAAGCAAATTGTTGAAAACAGCAATCTAGAATCAACAGCACGCGGACAGCAATCCCTTGTTTTTCTCTGCCTTCGCAACGCGAAAAGGGGAATGGTACACATGACATCGCGTGGCATGGAGCCACTCCCACATTTCAAACACAAGAGGTGGCATAGAGCCACCAGCCTTCTTTCCCCTTTTCACTCCATCCTTTCGAGGATTGTGCCAGTGAGGAAACAACGCGGTGTCTCCTCGACAAAAGGTTTGAAACACGACATATCATGCCAACGGCCTCTGGACGGGGGGTCAGCTGGATTTGAGTGGCTGGGAACTCGATGGAACCAGGACATGCAAGGCCTCGCTTCATCTGCAACTTCAAAGGCCATAAGAAGTTGCCTCCAGGATGAGTCGGATGACGTCCCGGTCATGCATGCGCCCTGCACGCCTGAATGGTCGATAAAGTAGACAACCCTACGATTTGACAGGTCATTACTCCACAGCACTCGAGCGAGGACCACGGCATACAGCTCGGTCTGCCCTATGATGTGTTTCCTTCCCTCTGCCCACACCTGCACAACTGAATCTGGCACTCGGCAGCCAAAGACCTTCATCGTCGGGCGGGAGCCCGGAACGATTAGCAAACCCCCCACACTGCACTCGAACTTATCTCCCTTGGGTTCGCATGCACCATCGGTGAAGACAAGCACGGGCGAAAGATCGCCCGCTGTGGAAATGCTTCGGGGCGGTCCGGAGCGCATGCGGCGCAAGAGAAGAGCAAAGGCTTCAAGATGATGGGGCATTAAGGGCACACTCACAGCATTCGCAGCCTCAAGCTTGCGAAGGTCAGCCAGCGCCAGACGGCCGGATCTTCCCAAGAGCTGTGATTCGGCAAACTGGAGCCTGCCAAAAAGGGCAGGAAGCTCGGCCACCCTCACTCTCCCTTGATGCATGACCATCTCGAGTGACTCAGCTATGGCGCTGGCACGGTCTGGCTTATTGGCTACCCGGACAGCCTGATACCCTTGATCGGAAGTATCAAGGGTGACACCCAGCAGCTCGGTTTGCGTAGAAAAGCTACACTCCTTGTCCACCGAAGTCTCAAAACCCAAAAGAGTGAAGACTGCATGGGCACAGCCATCAGTGGCTTCTGCAAGACACTTAGGCGCAGTGCAAGGGTAGTCGTCGTAGTAGCAGGAGGCAAGCACGTCGACCTCAAGGAGAATGCGCCTAAGCAGCAAAGAGACCCGGTTGAACTGCAGAACCGAAGCCGCAGACCCGAAAGGTAGGGTCCGGCATACAAAGGCTCTGGGCTCACGGGTCCCAGGTTCCCGCAGCATGATGACAGCCTTCCTTTGCTCTTCTGGGTGCAGCGGCAGCTGCTTGTAAGCAGACCTCAAGTCGTAGGTCTTCGTGAGGGGCCTGATGTTATCACCCTGCTCCCACATGGCATGCACTTTCCCATTCAGGCAAGTGCCATCTGAAAGAGTCAAAGAAACATCTCCTCGGGATGAGGCGTAGCGAAAGATCGTTGAGCAGACCCACACAATCTCGTCGAGGGCCCTCAAGGCAACCTTCTCGAAAGCTCCAAATGTCGAGTTGACATTGTTCTCGCTGAGATCGTCGATAGGTCGCCACTTCTTTTGCCATACCGCGAATCTTCTGCAAGGGCACCATTTGTCACCGAAACGCTGCCTGACCTCCTCCAAGGAGAGAGGCCCGTGAAGCCATGCCTTCGAGTTCGGGTCGGCCTCGTCCAGAGTCAGCTCCCACAGGGGTTGCTCGAAGTCAGCGATGGCCTGCTTTCGAATCTTCTCCACCAAGGAATTCTGGAGAGCGGGCGCTCGGGTCCAGAACTCCTGCTCATCAAGCTCTGCAGGGCGCACGTCAGGCTCAAAGACTCCTGTCGCAGGAAGATAGCCGGTTATGCGAAAACCATCCGCAAGGTCCTGATAGATGGCCTCATCTGGCCAACCCAAAGACCGTCCAATTTTCTCGAGTAGGGCCAGCCTCTTTCCTCTGAGGACGGCTGCGACATCCTTGTGCATCGAGGCAAAAAGTTTTGCATTTTCCGACTCAAGCTCTTTAGCCCAAGCTCGCCATTGCCGAAGCTTGAGCAACCTAGAACGGAGGACTGCTACAGGCCCACCCGTCAAAGTCTTAAAGAGTACACGCAGAAGGTCATCAGGCACGGCCCGAGCCAGGTCAAAAGGATGCTGCAGGGAAAGAGCATGATGCACATACTGCAACGGCTCACGGTACACACCAAAGGTAACGTACGACGGCCCTGGGAAGTCAGGAAGAGCGACTCCCCCCCTTTCAAGTGACTGTCGCAGGAAACGGCTGCCGGCCGGCACACCCAGCCAAGGATCTGTCAGGCAACGCTTAGCATTGAGCGGCGGCGGCATCTCAGAAAAGACAGTGACAGTGTAGCTGTACTCGGGTATGAGCGGCGGAAAGCGGCGCCCGCGTGGCTGCACGTGGTTGGCTGCACGCGCGGAAGCATGGGCAGAAAGGGCATCGGGATCAGGGCCCAACCCAGACGCTGAAGCGGAGGCCGCAACCGCCGCCACGAACCGCTGGCAGAAAAGGAGCGGGTAGGCCGCCTCACGGGCGGTGGCAAACTCGCCGTTTTGGACTTGCCAGGGCTGATGCTCCGCACAACCTGGGCATGGCCCACTAAGGACCCCCAAACCTGGCACGTTGGTGAGAAGGCCCGTAGCCTTGCGCCTGTTGGAGCCATGCCTGCAAAGGTCAAAAGCAACGAAAGTGCAGCGCTGCATCAAAGAGGCAAAAGGCGGCAACATCCAAAGCCATGAATGCAGAGGGTTCTCTACTGAGACGCCGATCTGAGGAAAAGAAGCCAGAACAAATTCGAAGAAAGCAGCAGCGCCCTCGTAGATTGCATTGGCACTTTGGACACGAGCGTGATCAGTAGGTGAGAGCCCTGGAAGACCCCAGACATGATGGAGGTCGCGCAGAGGGGGGGGCCCAGGTGACAAGTCGCGGGCGCGGCTGCATGTGCCGCACGGCACGGCAATATGCACATGAGCCACGGCTTGGGATGACAAGACGCCACGAAGGAACTCCCAGGAGGAGGGGCTGCGGAGATCCAGCTGCAGAACATGCACATGCGGCTTAAAGCGATTGCCATGATGGTCAACAGCCAACGTCCGAAAACCAGCCTCCGCGGCCTGCTGTGACAGCAGGGCAGTACCGGCGCAAAGCTCGATGAACAAAGGCGGCGTGCCGACGGGAGTTGGGGAGACTAGGGGACCCGGCAAACCAGGGGGAGGCGACCTAGTCCTAGAACCCGAACCGGCCACAACAGCGGAAGTGGGAGCAGGAGAGCGCGAGCGTCGCGCAGGCTCAGGTGCATCAGCGGTCTGGGGGAGCGGAGGGAGGGGGAAACCTAAGGCAACGAGTTTGGCACGATCGTCCGGCAGGAGCCGGTGGCAGGAGGCAGGAGTGAAACCCACCAAGACAAGCCTGCGCCCCGTCCAGGGCAGGACTTTATGCCACAGGCGATAGGCGTCGAAGGTAACGGCACCATGCTCCCAGGACAAAGGGCCACCTTGGACGGTGTGGCCAGCACAAGGGAGGCTTTCACTACCACAACCCTCGACCCAAAGCAGACCACCTTGGAAGACGGTCAAAGGCGCAACGGTGTTAGGCACAGGATGGTTACGCACATCCTTATGGAATGGAGCGTCGTCAGCATCCAGGAGAACAATGGCTGAGAAAATGGAATCTGGGCACAGCAGGCGCAGCCAGGCAGTCAAGGCAAAAACACAGAAAGGGAAAACCAGGGTATTCTTACGAAACCCAACCAGTGCACCCTGACCATAAGCCCCGGCAGCGAAAGCACGACCAGTCTCGGCCCGCGGCGAAGGCTCGAAGGGGAGCAAGTCCACCATCTCGACGATTTTCGAGCGGACCAGGGCGCGCTCTTGAAGCATGGAAAAAGCCAAAATTTCTGCAGGATGCACCGGTGCGGGGTATGCGTGCATCAAGGCCTCGAAACCAGACAAAATGCAATCTGTACATGACAAGGTCTCAGGCAAATTGAGGGCAGACGGGGAGTGGCGGGACATGGAATCAGCGCCGGCATCGCAAACGCTGTCGGGAGTCTTTGCAGGAACAGGGGGCTCCGTACAGGATCAGGCGACACAGGCTGCCCCGCCCCGGACTGTCAGGGCTCGGCACCCATGGCCGCCGGCTTGTTGGGGCAGTCCAGGGCAGGATGTGTACGTCCGCAGCGACTGACAGCGCAGATATGAAGGCCTTTCCGGCAACGGCCTCGGGTGACCGTTTCACGGCACTTCTTGAGGTTACAATCGAAACATATGGGCTCGTTGTTATTGGTGCAGGAACGGCAGCCCTGGAGCCCGAAGGGCATTCGAACGCCCTTACCAGCGCCCTTGCGACCTCCCTTCTGGCTTCTCCCACGACCTCGGCCTCTTGGGTAAGGGCCGCCACGCTCAGCACTCTCGTTGGGGGGAGACGGCCCACTCTGGGCCTTGGGAAGGGGCTGCAACAGGTGAAGGACTTCCGAAGCTTGGGTGCACTCAACAAAGATCAGGTCAAGCGGCCGCTTGCCTGTGGCATTCAGTTGGATACCGGTCCTTGTTCGGTCCGCAAGGAGCATGAAAAGGCGGCGATCAGCAGCCTGCAGCTGCTGGAAAGTGGGTTGCAAGTGGCCCGCGAGCACAGGGTCCAAACGGGCACTTTGCAGGCGCTCGCTCCAGCGCGCATGCAGGTTATAGTCGAGGAGGTTTGCCATCTCAAAGGCCACCGCTCTGCGAGTCATGGCAAGAAGGAGTAGAAGCTCAGTCGAAGTATCGGCTATTGCCGGGGAGGACTTTTCGGTCCGCAACATGCCGGCCGCATCAACAGAAAGGACTTTCTCCCGCTTGGCGCTCAGCGTCTGCTCCTGCTCCTTACTCGTCAGGCGGTCCCACTCCACATATAGAAGCTTGTTGTTCTCATACATTGAAACACACAGATCAAGCAATGAATCAGACGGTTCAGTGCGGTTTCTAATATCAAGACCTGGAAGTCGCTTCACAATGGCGGAATGCCTCTCAGCCCTTTCCGGGACCGAGAGCTTTCGAGGTGCACTCTCCTCCGTTTGGCTCACCAAACCTTTCATCTCATGAGTCGTAACTGAGAAAGACTCGTGAAAGAGCCGTCGGAAAGAGGCCTTTTGCCCCAAGGTCGGCTCTTTTCCCAACGCAGTTGACAGGGCTAAGATGAGACTGCCATCGTCACCAGCGCCTGGGGTATAGGCACTGCAGAAAGCGACCTTTGCCAAGGTTGTGAGGCCGGCAGCGACAAGACTCTCCGTCTCGGCTTCATCAAGTCCACATGCTGCACATCGGGCTCGGAACACTGGAGTGGATTCCGAATAGGCCGCCATGGTGCACACAACCGCACCTTCTTGAACCTTAAACGGCTCCACCTCAAGGCAGCAGTAAGCTTTCCCAGACATGTCTGCGGAACAGCAACGAGAACTGCACTCCAAGCCTCAAGAGGGCAGCTGAGAGCTGCACACTCACCTCTGAGCCCGCGTAGGGGTCGCGCACGTTTTCAGCTGAGAGCTGTCGCCCACTAAGAGTGAGCGTCACATTGCACACAGCAAAAAGATATGAAACTGTCGCTGGCATAACAGCATTAAAAGTAAGAGAAGAGAACTCATCATGGCATAACAGGCGGTGCATGTACCAGCTGAGAGCTGGGCGTTAAGCAAGTGCATGTCAGCTCAGAGCTTGGCATAAATCCATGTAAGCAAGTAGCGCCACCAAGAGTGGGCTTTCAGGGGCATGGAGCACGTGCATGTCAGCTTAGAGCTGCCAAACCACCACTAAGAGTGGCGGTAAACCAACATATAGCACGATCGAGTGCATGTCAGCTCCGAGCTGGGCGTAAAGCACGTGCACAGCGGCTTAGAGCCTCCAAATTGCACCACTAAGAGTGGGCTTTCAAGGACATTGAGCACGTGCATGTCAGCTTAGAGCTGCAACTCCACCGCGAAGAATGGCAGAGAATGGGCATAAAACACGTGCATGTCAGCTCAGAGCTGGCTTCGCCCCCCCCCCCACTGAGAGTGGGATATAAAACTGATGCAATAAGCCCACAGGTCGAACTTCATTTGTACGACGCGCCGCGATCCATTCACATCTCTCTAGGCACAGCCGCTAGCGCACAAAACGTCTGAAACACTGTTTACACCTGGGGTGAAGCACTACAGGCCTTCCCTCGCAACTCTCATTGAAGTTCGACCTGTGGGCTTATTGCATCAGTTTTATATCCCACTCTCAGTGGGGGGGGGGGCGAAGCCAGCTAAAATTTTTGCCAGCTTGCTGCGAGCAAGAACCTTGACCCATTCAACATGCAATTCACATGTAAATATTCATGCAACAAATCTCATGAGAGTGCATGCACGGGTCAGACGAAAATTCCCAGCAGAACAACATGTAGAACATGGACACAAAAATTCACATCAAAGAATTTTTGAGTTCATCTGGCATAAAACGCTGTCACACAAGTGTGAAAGCTTGCGTCTTCCGGGCACTTCCATGCTGATGCACTGACCGGGGTCCAACCCAAGTCAACCAGGTAACACAGCAGTGCCCCTACTGGGCCAGCAGCGCGCTTCCAGGGATATTCGGTTTGCTGGTACTCCATCCACATCTCAGGCAGTATGTCATCAAAATGCTGTTTTTGCCTGTCAGGGATAAAACACAGCAACCGGTGGATCGCTTTGAAGTGCTGGGATATAATCGTGTAAGCCGGGTCCGGTCTCTTAGGTGCAGCATGGTCGATCGTCAGATCCACCGAACCCAGCGACATGCGCCCCAATTCATGCGCGAAGGAGGCACGCAGCCAGTGCATCCTTTTGGGAGCAAGTCCAACAGACTCATGGCCATACATGCCCACGGTTTGCACTCCCGCTCTTAAAGCACGGACCCTGACAGGTGTCGACTTAACCCGAAGAGACGAAAGCCTAGCGCAACGCTTAACCCCCTTACCAAACCTTTTGCGGTGCACCGGGATACGTCTCCTTCGACCAGCAGTGCAATCAATGCCCAAATCCTTGGCAGCATCCTTGATTTGTTCAGAATCAGGAAGGTACCCTTTTAAGGCAGCCTCGACCTTCTTTGACGAACACACAAAGGCCGTCTTGCCAGTGCTGATGGGAAGTCCAGCTTGCTCTAAGCCCCCCACCACAGCTTTGTACAGCTGCGCTGCCCTGCGCGCAGCTAGCTCAGGGCTAGCAGCTTCAGTATCAAAACTAGTGTCATCGACATAAAGGTCAATGGTTTTGGCAAGCCCCGAGTTCCATGCCGGGCGTAAGATGCTGTCGAAGGGGATCTTGCTGAGTCCCGGGGCAAAGGGGCAACCAGCTACCAAGCCCTTCGTCGGCTTGATAGGCCCAGAGATACACTTTTCAGCACTGATCCATCTCGGCGCACTGTAAAGTGAGATTGCAGCATTTAAAATGAGCGGGGGTACCTCAAGGGCAAGGGCCTGGGCCACAAAACTGTGGTGAGAGACATTTTCATAAAATGCTTTAAGGTCCAAAAGCACCGTTACACCGTGTCTCTTTTTCCGGTACAGGATCTCATGAGACATTTTACGGCGCAACGCAACATCAAGACTTGATAAGCCCTTCTCGGCGCGGTCCCAGTCTTGGGTGGCGGCATACTTATCAAGCCATGCTTTGAAGACCGGCCATCGGAGTTTGGCCCATAAGCGATATGGCACAGGAGTCAGTCCAATCGGTCGCTCCTCATCCTCAGACTTGTTGATGAGAGCGACAAGAACAAGAGAAAGTTGGGCCGGGAAACAACCCTGACGTTCCCAAGTGTTGAAGAACGCAGCCAACCTTTCCAATTGCACTGGGGCCAACTTCTGCAGCATCTGTACACTCCAACCGTCAGCACCAATGGCTTTGTGGGGCATTTTCTTAATGGCTTTCTCAACCATAGAGCCAGTAATCGGCTGGAGCGTGCTGGCTTGGGCAACTGCTGCGTGTTGTAACTCGTGCCAATCAATTAAGAGGTTGTCTCCATTGCCTGGCAGAGGCCGCCATACGTCAGCCCAATGTGCTCTGCGTATGTGCGGTCGAATTTCAAGGGGGATGTGTCTGTACGGTCTGTCCGGAGTCACGTCCTCAGACTTAAGAGCCCTATACAGACCTCTCATACCTCCTTTACACGCCGCTTCCAGCCATTGACTATAGGCCTCTTCACTCTGCTTGACGGCTTCCTTCAGAGCGGCTCGCCCTTGGAGCCCAATGATGTCAAGAGCTTGCGTGTGACTTTGAAGGTCATCTGCATCAAGCAGGCATTCCAAGGCTTGGAGAGTGTGTGGTGGCATGTCGATCCAGTGATCGTTCATCCTTGTTCTCGCCTGAGTGAAGAGCGACATCACTCTGACTTCAGGGTTACTTCCAAGTGCTTTCGAAGTCCAGAGGAGGAAGGATTGCCAAAAGGCCGGCCTCGAGCCTTTCCAAATTTTTTCCGGGCTGCTGGTTTTAACAAGGGGAAGGAACGTGTCTTCCAGTTTCCACCCACGACCCGCAGCAGCAGAAAAGAGTTGCTCCTCAACCCCAGCACTGAAGGAAGCCCACTCATGGTCAAGTGGTTGGGAGGTATCCCACAAACCACGTGCTTGAGCCTCAGGGAGATGCAACTCATCAGGGCATGATGCGGTTGGCTCAAGGCAGAATCCCTTCAGTTGCCGGAGAGGCAGGTCCACAACCTCAAGCCTCAGCTCAACGGTAACCGCAGCGTGGGGTTTGAACGGAACGTCCCAACAAGGAGTGAGTGTAATGGCCGGCGCTAGATTGGCCGACGCTAACGCATAATCCAAAGTTCCCCCCGTATTGATTGTGGGGCTTGTCGGCACCGCCAGCCGGCCCTTAACCATGGTAGGGTATCCAAGTCGTAGGAGTTCATCAGGAGGGCAATTCCAATCACCAAGAACCAGCCAGGGCGTGCTGGTTTGGCTAAGGAGCACAGCCAACCTCCTAAGGATCTCCGGGTTAACCCCTCCGGTCGGGCCCACACCGGACTGGAGGTAAAGGTTGACCAGGAGGAGGTCCCAACCCCTAAACCTAATTGAAACCGACACAAACCCTTTGCCATCCAAGAGGAAAGCCGGGCCAGTCGCCGCATTGCGATGGGAAGGAGCCAGGGTGAGGAGGCCCCCTGAAGATCCTCCCTGGGTCGGTGCAGCAGGGCCCGCCCAAGCTTGCTTTCCAACAGATTGGAATTTGTTCACCAGGGCTCTGGTGTCTGATTCAGTGACATGTGTCTCCTGCAAAAGCCAAAAGGACTCATCCCGATCCACCAACCAAGTTCGAATCTCACTTCGATAGGTGGTGATATTGGCCTGACCAATCAGCAGACGCTGGCTATCTGACCCCTTTTTACAGAAGCCAGCCAGCACAGCGTCAACAGCCTCAATCACACCCAGGGTGTCATCCTTGGATTGCTCAAGGAGCTGGCAGATACGGTTCAAAGTCCACTCCGCTAAAGACCCTGTTTCATATTGCTCGCCAAAGTCCTCAATCCACTGGAGCAGATCAGCCTCTTTGGCAGGCATATCCATCACAGGTGCAGCCTCAAGGATGTGGAGGAGGGCCTTCCACTCCTGAACCTGTTTTTTGTGGGCTTGCCTGGGCCTTGGCTTCGGTATGGTGCTCTTCCGGGGCCTGGGACTAGGGGAGGCCTCAAGGGTGTCCAAGGAAGAAACAACATGATCTGCATCATCAAACACGGCCCTGGAGAAGTACTTGGGCCCAGAGGTCTTCAAGGGGGAGGCCTTGCAAGAGGACGAGGGTTTGAAAGTTCGGCTGGGTAACACCCAAGCCGGTTCATCGCATGGAGGCGGTTGTTGTGTGGGAAAAGGTGGGAGTGGCATCTCATGGAAAACAGACGCAAGGGCACTGCCGATCGTACCACCCACGAGGTGGCCAGCAACAAAAATTGGACCAGCCGGGACCCTGAGAAGTTCAGATGCGCACTCATCCTGAGCAAGGAAGGTACAAACCTCCTCACACCAGGTCAAAACATCACCCGCAAATTGCAAAGGAACGGAAAATTGCTCAGCTGTAAAGTGCTTAGCCCACTTATCGAAGAGCATCTGTCCTTGCGAAATTAAAACGGTGCACCAGTCAGCCTGGGAAGCCAGGAGTGAGCAAAGGGAAAAGGAGCAACCCAAAGGCCCTGGCGCTGGAGAAAAGGAAGGTTCCGCAGGTGTAAGGCCATCACACCGAGGTGGCGGGCCTGCAGTGCCCCCAGCCTCCTCGGTTCGGCCTGTTTCCTACTTATCAAGTTCGCCTTCCTTCCCCTCTTTCTCCTTTGGGGAACGACTTCTTTCCTGACTGTGGTGCCCATGTGCAACAGGGGCTGGCCTTTGCGGAGGCCCGAAAGGCCTGGGCGCGGCGTCAGCGCCTAACAGCTCCCCTACACCAAGGCCCGGGGGGGAATCCAGTGCTTCTGCCTTCCTCCGCTTGGAAGCATGCTCGGCCTGGATGGCCTTCCAGGTGGCCTGCTGCTCCTGGGTCAGCTGGACTCCAAGCTGTCCCAAAACCGCTTCCACATCCATAGGATCTGTGCCATCCTCCGTCTTAAGCACTTTCTCATGGTAGTCACCTCCAACTTTCTCAACCTTTTGCTCAGCGTCTTTGATCTCCGCCTGCAAGTTTTGCATCTGCGAAAGCAAGGCAGTGAAGGCAGTCTTTGCATTGTCAATTCGTTGCTGCAGGAGCAACTTGCGATGGCCAAGCTCCCGTAGCTTTCCAACTGCAGTTTTGAAAGCATCCTGGGTGGCAAGTGCAACTTCGAAAGGCTCCGGGTCCCTCTTGTCAAGCTCGAGCTTGATCTCGGCAGGCAGGGCTTCTTTGTGCTGCATGAGCAGCTTAAGCAGCGGGTCTTCATCTTCAGCAGGCTCCGGCGGGGCCAGCCCATTCTTCTTGAGCACCTGCTGCACTGCTTCAGGCAAAGAACCCCAGTGCTCACCAAGGACCTGCACACCCTTAAAGCCCTTGGATGGCTGGGTTTTTGCAGGCTTGGTCGGCTTGACAAAAACGGCACGCTTCTGGGACCATTGGTACGACCCCAGGTCCGAATCCTGGGTGTACTGCGACTCTTGCAAAGGCCATGGTTGCCCACATCTGCAAAACGGGCGGTGCTTGATTTTGTGGTTGTAAATCCAAGAGTCGTTGCAAAACTGGCACACAGTGTAGCTTCGCGATCGAGGCATAATCACCACAGCTGACTGCAAGCTGACACACCAGTGCCCTGGCTTTGAAAGCTGGATCTAGGATCTCAACCACACCACAAGACCCAAGGGTTCAGCTGGGACACCCAAGCCTCACCACAAGGGTGTGGATTTTGTGCAGCAGTTCCCACAAAGGTTGCTCAAATGCTATGGCTCGAGAGGCTCAACCTGGGATTGAGAAAAAGGCCTGTTACCCCACAGAGTTCAGGACTAAAGCCTCAGTTCACAGCAAGCTCCCTACCACAACACAGGCAAAAGGCCTTGAGCAGTAAAACTTGAGCCAAATGGCTACCCAGGTGAATTTTACACACCCCCTAATGCACAGATGGTCCTTGGGTAGTTCCCTTCAGTCCTTTCTTTCCTCCTGCTTCAGGATCTTCTTTCCAATCCTGACAAGAGCCTTTCCAAGCTCTTCCGGGTAGGTCCCAGACTCCTTCAGAGACGCACTCTTCGAGTGTTCGTGGTTTCCTGCGCAAACGTACGAAGACAGTTCCCACACACAGGCAGCACTATTAGAAGCGAACCACCATCTCTTCCAAGTCTTCTCTTTCTTCTCGAAGCAGCATCTATCTACTAGACATCCTTGCGTCAGACCAATGCTTTTAGAGACTTCTAGAAATACTGTTTCCTTCCACAAAGAGGACCTCTCAGGCCATTCGTGGGTTAACAGCAAACCCTCGTTCGAGGCATAGGGGCCGAAGAGCTTCCCTATAAGTCTCCAGCAACTCTTGTGAATCTTTAGCGTCTTCCGCCAAAGTTCCAAACCTCGTCGCTTGCGGAAACGCAGGTACCTCAAGGGGCAGCCTGAGCTGCAAAGCGTAGACAAATGCGCAAAGACACGGACCTTTCCCTGCTTCAGGACTCTTAAGATCTCTTCAAGAACAAGAAAGGTGTTCTTACTCAGAAGATTGATTTCCCGAGTCACTCCGAAGTACGCTATGCCTTTCTCTCGAGCACACGCTCTCGCTATAGCACTCGACTCTTCGCAGCAAAGCTCCAGAACGACGAGCGACACTGTTCCTCTAGCCACTGCCGTCGCGGCCTCCATCCAGGAGCTAGGAACCTCCAGCGGAGAGGACCTTACTGCGTTCGAAGATACTTCCTCAGTGATATTGGGCTCATTTCTTGCTTCTTCGACGTTTTCTTCGGAGATCGACGACCACGATTCTGGCTCGGTAATGAGGCCAGCGGCCTCACAAAGACTGACCAAATTCTCCGCAGTTGGGGACTTCGTTAGAGCATCTGCGGGGTTGAGTTTCCCCGGTATATACTCCAGCGTCAATCTTTCCTTGGCGACTAGTTGTTGGAGAAAAGCCGCTCTCAACTCTATGTGGCGGACTTTCCTAAGGAGGGTACTCATTTGCGCTATTGACAGGGCGCTTTCAGAGTCCCCGTACGCGTGCAACTGATATCGGCCTTCCTCCGAGTCAGAAGGCATCCCCTCCACCATCGTCTGCACCAACAGAGATATATACAATCCCTCTCTTGCGATTTCAGTCAGTGCTGCTAGCTCGGCTTCTGCCGATGACAAAGCTACTGTCGTCTGTTTCCGACTGAACGCCTTCAAGCAACAGTTGTTCCAGGTCACAATTCCACCACTCACAGAGTTCAAACCCCAAGACGCGTCAACAAAACACGACACTGACTCTCGGTCCTCATCAGGGGCTAAAATTCGGCTAAAAGCTCTCTACGTGAGGGGAACACTTGGACCTTATGCGGTAAACCAGACACCCACCTCAGAACATCCCTCATACAAGCTTCGGCTGCTTCATTGGGGGCTGACTGGTGTCTTCCTAGAAAACCGCATACATACTGCAAATCAGGTCTTGAAAGCGACGCCCAGGCTAGGCGTCCCAAGGTACGCCTATAGCGCTCGTGCGCCTCTGGCGTAAGAGGTGTGTCCTGTCCTTTCTTGATGAGGTCGGCATACCGCCGCTCTAATGGTGGAAGCTTCGGCGCCACCTTAGTGATTCCGTACTCCTCACAGCAAGACCTCAGGTACTTAGCGTCCAAGCCAAAGTATACGCAGGGCTCTCCGGTCTTCTTCCGGAAGATCCTACGTCCCAAGAAAGACACCTCACCTGGTTTTCCTTCCAAGAGCTCACCTGTTAGCTTAAGCTTGTAGCGTTTCTTCAGGTCTTCATACACCTTTCGAGCTTCGGCGGTGTTCTCGGCCCAAATTAACAGATCGTCAACATAAAAGAGGACAATCACCAAACCATTCTTGGTTTTCTTGCGGAAGATTGTAGGGTCCAAGATCTGCTGGAATCCTTGGTTTCCCAAGTACGCCGACAGCTCCTTGTACCAAGAAAGCGGGGCACTTCGAAGCCCGTTCATGGCACGAAACAGTTTCAAGAAGACCCTTTCGCCAGTCTTTGCGTTTCCTATGTTACTCGGAAGCTGCACAAACTCCGGCCGCGCAATAGCGGCGTGCATGAAGGCTACCGAGACGTCACAGGACAGCACAGACCCTTTTCTACATAGAACAGAAAGTAGGAGCCGCAACCCTTCCAGGCTGGTGGTCGGAGAATAGATCCCCTCAGCGAGCGTGGTGCCGCCCATAGCGGCAAAATCGCGGACAACAAGTCTAGAGCGGTAAAGACCAGGCTTCTTAACCGTATTGACCCAACGGCTCGAAAGAACTCTTCTTCCGCTCTCCTTAGCAAGTCGATACGCTTCTCGCTCGCTCACCACTTCTCCAACGTTGAACGACTCCAATTCTTCTAGTTCTAATTTCATGGACAGATAGAGGAGTTTGGGATCTAACAGCTCACCAGAGGTCTCTGACACAGCTTGTTGGGGGACCTGACAACAGATTCTACTCCCTCCAAACTTAAGCTCAAAGGAAGACGCCGCTTGATTGCTCACAGCGCGGCAGTCAGGTCCTTCACCTAACTTCTGAAGATAATGATCCGTCAACCAATCAATCTCCATGTCCTCCATGTCAGGTTCAGGAAGATCGCCACCTGCTACCCCCTCATGACCTTCAGATCCCACTTCTGTAGGCTCGTAATCTGGGACATAATCGGGAAGCATTTCTTCATCCTCTGGGGCTTCAATTTCTTCTTCTTTTGGAACAATGGGTTCCGCAGGCGGTTCAAACAGCAAAGGCTTTTCGGGGTCCTGCGTATCAAGCACAAGAGGATTAGCTTTAGCTAACAGCTCCAACGTTGGGCTGTCGTACGTGGGTTCGTCCCGTTCAAAGATCCCACGACACGCTGGAAAGACCTCAATCTCTCCATCTCCTCCAATGACAGTTCCATACACACCTCCACCTCTAGGATGGACGGGGCCCAGATAGCTCACTCGAACCGTCTTGGCTCCCCGGAACTTTTCTAGACGTCGTTTGGAACCGCCAACTTTGGCCTGCGCAGAACAGCCGAAGGGAAGCGTCCTAGTCCTTTGGACTATCTCCTCGTGCAACCTGTCTATTGCTGTGGTACTATTGTTGCTGTCAAAGTTCCACAAGTTGAAACTGCGTGCGGCGTACAGCAAACAAGTCTGCCACAACATTCCACCTAAAGGTAACTGCCAAGCAGCGCCACCTTCTTCAGCAGGTCGTCGACGCTTTATCTCCGCCTCTAGGTCGAGCCATATCGACCAAAATCCCTGCTTCATCGCAGAGACCTGCCTTTCCACAGCACCTTTAGACTGCGGACGGTATCCTGGCACAACATCTACAATCGTAGGGTTCTCGCGCCTCTGCGCCGCGACCCTCTCGCACATGGATATCAGACCCTGTTCGTTATCGCACCGAAACGTTAAAGTCTTTTGGTGCAATCCAATTTCGCGGATAAACCGATCGATATTGAATAACAAGTTCGGGTCGTGTAATTCCATTGCGGGGATAGACATTGAGTACCAGGACGCAACATGTACGAGAAGAAGAACCCTCAGTTTCCCAAAATAATAGAAATCGACCCCAATGGTTTGATTCTCCTTCTGTAGCTGCCTCTTCAGTCTCCTGGCCGGGACTTTTCCTTTACTGGAGCAGCAGCTTTCGCAGTTCACATCATAGGGAAAATGACCTCGGGATCTATGTACCTGAAGTGCATGGCTTCGCAAAGGAATCCTTTCTTCAATCTCCTCTCCTTGTGGAACTGGGGCTTCAGGAGGTTGTTCAGGGTTTTGTGGGGGACGATTCGGTTGGTTAGACGAAGACGACGGCTCCCCATCATCACGGTCCAGGATTAAGGGATCAGAGCCTGTGCCACTTCCTTGAAGGGGCAGCCCTCTGAGCATCCGCAGATGCTCAGTCACTGGCTGCTTTAAGCCTCCTTCCGGCACTTTCTCATCATTTCCCTTCAACACACAGCATGCCACATCAAGACAACATGCCAAAACATGCCAAACATGCCGCAAACAAGCCAACAACTTTAAGGTTTTGGGCTTTCCCTTAGTTGGGGCTTTTGGGCTTTTCCTACCAACCAACAAGATTCGTTCTACGCAAACACGCTTGAAGCATTTTCGGGTGCGAATACGAATCCAACAACCTCCTTGTCGGGGCTTAATCCTCCTCATCTTAGGGGTTCTTTTGGAGTCTCTCTGAAACAGCTTTTCGAGCAATTTCCAAAGACCCGAAATAACGACCCCAACCAAGGCACTGAAGATCAGGATGAGGAACACCATCGCAGACTCAACGACCACTCCTATGAATTTAACCGGGAACGAGCACGTACCTGGACGCGCCGTCGCAAGTTTGAGAGGCCTAATCCCTGCTGTCCGTCCTGTGGAGGGTTTAGGCAGCAGTGAAAGGGGCCTAATCCCTGCTGTCCTCTTTCTGGAGGGTTTAGGAAGGAGTGAGAGAAGCCTAATCCCTTCTGGCCTTTCTCCGGAGGGTTTAGGCAGCAATGAGAGGGGCCTAATCCCTGCTGTCCTCTCTCCGGAGGGTTTAGGAAGGAGTGAGAGAGGCCTAATCCCTTCTGGCCTTTCTCCGGAGGGTTTAGGCAGCAGTGAGAGGGGCCTAATCCCTGCTGTCCTCTCTCCGGAAGGTTTAGGAAGGAGTGAGAGAGGCCTAATCCCTGCTGGCCTTTCTCCGGAGGGTTTAGGCAGCAGTGAGAGGGGCCTAATCCCTGCTGTCCTCTCTCCGGAGGGTTTAGGAAGGAGTGAGAGAGGCCTAATCCCTGCTGGCCTTTTTCCGGAGGGTTTAGGCAGCAGTGAGAGGGGCCTAATCCCTACTGCTGGCGTTTCTCCGGAGGGTTTAGGCAGGAGTGAGAAGGGCCTAATCCCTGCTGGCGTTTCTCCGGAGGGTTTAGGAAGCAGTGAGAGGGGCCTAATCCCTGCTGCTGGCGTTTCTCCGGAGGGTTTAGGCAGGAGTGAGAAGGGCCTCATCCCTTCTGGCGTTTCTCCGGAGGGTTTAGGAAGCAGTGAAAGGGGCCTAATCCCTGCTGCTGGCGTTTCTCCGGAGGGTTTAGGCAAGAGTAAGAGGGGCCTAATCCCCTCTACGCCCTCTGTGGCCAGATTTCCAAAGGGACGACACAGGTCGGCTATTTTTGAGGTCTCTTGGCCACTCCATCCCAAACAAATCAAGTCAAGCCATGTCAAGGTTCCAGGGCCATGGTTACTGCCGCTTCTGCTTCTGGCAACAAGCAAGGGGAGCGAATCGTCATACCACGCACAAGCACACGTGCCATGCTTAAGGGTTCTAGGGACGTCATGCCCAGCGCAAGCACAAGACAACATGCCAAACATGCCAGCGCTGCCTTGCGTTAAGTCTTGGGACCCTTGAAAATCATGGTAAAACATCTCCTCCTTGCTCTTTTTGGCTCGCGCGCCTAGCGCTTCATTCTTCCAACCCCCAAAACAGAGCTGCGCTCCGCATGCGCCGATCCTTCCTTCTTCGAAAACAAAACTCTCATGCCAACACACCACAAAACATGCCACAAGCCATGCCAAGAACCATGCCAAAATATGCCAGCAAGACTTTCCTAAAGACTTCTGGGCCATTTCAGGTCATTTTCGGGGTACTTTCGGGCATTTTCGGGGTGTTTCGGGGTAAGCTCTGTGTACTTCGGGCACGCTCAGGGTGCTTGCGGGGTATTCTTGAGGAACTTCAGGGACCACTTTCGGGGATACTTCGGCTCTAAGCCCTCGCAGCAAGAAAGCAAACGGCGTCTCAAGCAAAGCATGCCGGCAATCACCGCTCTCTCTTCCTTGTGGCTTCTCGACTTCCGCCTTCTTTCCTCCTGTCGTCGCTTTCTTGAGGATGCTCGGTCCTGGCTGTGGCTTAACAACAGAGTCCTGCAGGCAGGTAATCGCGTCTATTTCCATGTCCGAACCCGAAGGCTGGCGCGGAGAACGACCTTTCCCCGCTTTCTGGCGGCGACCCCCGCTCAAAGCCCACCAGGCCCGATTAGCGGATACGAGTTTCACGTTGCGTTTGCCTTTGTACAACCTAGACCCGGTTTTGTAGAGATACGTTCTCCACCCTTTCTCCACCGCCGCCCAGGGACTAATGGCGTTAAACGTCACTTCCGCAACGAGAACCTCAGTCAAAAGAAGGCTACAATCACCGAAAACGACCTCTAAGTCGACGACGTCCGATACGGGAATCTTCCCCCCTGAAGCGTTGTACAGAGTGACCTCTCTCTCGTGCTTCTTGACCACCCTGAATCCGCTGAGGTGTTCAGAGGAAACCACATGACACGTGGCTCCAGAATCCACTAACCAAACGTCTCTCGGTTCTAGCTGAAAGCTGGCGCAGATGCGCTCTACATCCCCTGCAGTCAAAGAGTTGCTAACAGGTCCCAAACGTTGCTTGTCGAGTGAAAAACCTACCCTACGCTCAGACGACTCAGAAAGGCTCAGTTCAGGACTTCGTTGGGCAAAGCGCATCGCCATCACACCCTGTGTAGGCTCTGCTTCCGCCTCGGACTCTGGTTCTCCTATAGCCCGGGCGCGGTTCTTCTTCTTCTTGCCCTTGTCCCCGCCTTTCTCTCCCTTTTCACCCTTCTCTCCCTTGGAGGTGGGCTTTCCTTTCGGCGTTGGAGAGCGAGGCGCGCCCTTCGGAGTGGGTGACCTTTGTCCTTTAGGGCCACCAGTGCCCTTTCCACTCTTCGACTCTCCCTGGCCGCCCTTGCCGCCTTTGCCGCCTTTCTCACCAGCCTCACGCTGTCGGACCCAACAATCCTTTGCCACATGACCATGCTTGCCGCAATGGTCGCAAAGCTTGCCGTCCATTCCACGATTGGCTGCAGTCGGCACGTCGCACATCCTCAGCTGTTCTTCGAAGTATTTGAGGCTCTTCGTGAGCTCACTCCAGCTGTTGGCGTTGCCGTGCAGCGCCACGTACTGCCTTGCCGGATGCGAAACGGCCTGCAGCAGGATGGAACAGCGATAGTGTTTGAGGTCCATGGGCTTCTTGAGCCTGAAACATTTGGCATGAAACTTCATGCAACCGTCCTCTTCACGTAGGACGGCGTTCCATCGAGCACGACAATGGAGTATTCAGGGGCAAGGTGCGAAAAACGCCTCGTCGCCTGTAGCAGACATTTGATCTGCCTTTTGATACAGCTTCGAGCAACTCCAAACCCCACTCAGTGGCGGGGCCCGCCCCTTCGTTACGAAGGGGGCTGTGGAAGGGGGGCTTGAAGGGGGGCCCCTTGAAGGGGGGCTGAAGGGTCGGACCCTTGAAGGGGGCTTGAAGGGGGGGGTGAAGGGGGGAGGGGGGGGAGGCGAAGGGTCGAAGGCTTGAAGGGGGGCTTGAAGGGGGGCTTGAAGGGGGGGGCTTGAAGGGGGGCTTGAAGGGGGGCTTCAAGGGGGGCTTCAAGGGGGGCTTCAAGGGGGGCTTCAAGGGGGGCTTGAAGGGGGGCTTCAAGGGGGGCTTCAAGGGGGGCTTGAAGGGGGGGCTTCAAGGGAAGCTTCACAGGGAGGCTTCAAGGAGGGCCTGAAGGGGAGGTTTGAGACGCGAGCCTAAACGTCGCGAAGAAGGCCCAGGTGCTCGGCCTCGTAAACTGCTCCCTGCAACCCGTGCGAAGCAAGCCCAGTTATTAGGCCGCTTGAACTGCTCCCTGGAACCTCGCGAAGAAGGCCCAGTTAGTGGGCCTCTCAAACTGCTGCCGAAACGTCGCGAAGAAGGCCCAGTTATTAGGCCTCTTAAACTGCTCCCTGAAACCCCTGCGAAGCAGGCCAAGTTGTTAGGCCTCTTAAACTGCTCCCTGGAACCTCGCGAAGAAGGCCCAGTTATTAGGCCTCTTAAACTGCTCCCTGAAACCCCTGCGAAGCAGGCCCAGTTATTAGGCCTCTTAAACTGCTCCCTGGAAGCCGTTTACGCCCGCGTCTCAAACCCCCCTTTCAAGCCCCCCTTTAAACCTCCCTTTGCAGCTTCCTCTGATCCCCCCTTGAAGCCCCCCCTTGCAGCCTCCCTAGCCTCCACTAGAAAACATGGGGTTTTCGGCTTAGCCCCTTGCCACACGCACTCGAGATGGGAGGCGTCGGGTACTCGCAGGCCGAAGCCGCTTCTCCTAGCCTCCCGCTACAAGACATGGGGTTCTTGGCCGAGCCCGTGCCACAACAAAAAAACATATTCAAGCCAAAAACATGCTACTGTACGTGATTGCGTCGTAAAAAGTCTCCACTCCTCTGATTTTCGAACAATGAAAAACAAAAACAAAACAAGATTTCAGGGGGGTGGAATTTGAACTGAAATCCCTTCTCTCTTCTCCCTTGATTTTTCGAATAACGAAATACAAAAAACAATAAAATTCGAGGGGCGTAGAATTTAGAATAACTTCCCTTCTCTCTTCTCCTCGGATTTTTCGAATAATGAAATACAAAAAACAAAAAAAGATTCGGGGGTGGAATTTAGAATACGTTCCCTTCCCTACAACAAGTAAATGGGGGGGGCTGCGTCCCCTCCAACCTCCCCGCTCTTTACTTCCAAAAAGTCTCCACTCCTCTGATTCTCGAACAATGAAAGACAAAAACAAAACAAGATTCGAGGGGGGTGGAATTTAAACTAAAATCCCTCTCTCTTCTCCTCTGATTTTTCGAAGAACGAAATACAAAAAACAGAAAAGTTCGAGTAGGACGACAAGAAGCAAGGGGGCATGGATTTTAGAACAATTTTTTTCCTTGCTTCTACGGGAGGAACCAAAAATGAAACAAAAAGGGTTCCCCTTGAAGCCCCCTTAAAGCCCCCCTTGAAGCCCCCTTGAAGCCCCCCTTGAAGCCCCCCTTGAAGCCCCCCTTGAAGCCCCCCTTGAAGCCCCCCTTCAAGCCCCCCTTCAAGCCCCCCTTGAAGCCCCCCCCTTGAAGCCCCCCCCTTGAAGGTCCCCCCTTGAAGCCCCCTTCGACGAAGGTCGAAGCCCCCTTCGGGCCCCCTTCAAGGGGGACCCTTCAAGGGGGACCCTTGAAGCCCCCTTGAAGCCCCCCTTGAAGCCCCCCTTGAAGACCCCCTTCGCTGAAGGGGGGAGGGCCCATTCAGCCACGCTCCCACTTTGCCAAACTCAAACAACTTCGCCGACCGAGCTGCAGTGTCAGGAGGCAAAAGGTCCTGTCGGATCTCGTCCTTGACACTGATGCAGAGGCGAATCTCGTTCACATAGGCCTTGTCTTGCAAGGCCAACCATGAATTCATCGTCTCCAGAAAGCCGTGCCAGGCCTCAATCTTTCGCATTTTGTCTCCCAGGTCGCTGTGGAAGGTTCTTGTCGGCACGGTTGGAAACATATCACCTTGAGGAAGGAAGAAAACTCCGTGCGGACGAAGTCGCGGCGAGGAACGGGTCACTCGGTGCAGATGCCGCCGCGGCTTCTGCCTTGGCTTGAGCCTCAGCAGCTGCAAATTAGCATCGTTCCTTCTCTCTTCACTGTCTCTGCTGTTGTGCATGCAAGGTGACAGGTTTCTGCAATCGTAAACGCCGCAGAAGTCCATGATGAGACGATGGCTGTTCTTGATCTCCATGGATTTACATTGAAGCCTCTTGGACTGGTTCAAGTGCCTGCGTATTTACAAGAACCGTCTTGATGGAGGAAGAAGTCTGAGAGTTTTTCGGCAACATGACGCATAAGCAGGTGCTGCATAACTTGACATGAGCAGTCAGCTACATGACTCGAGCTTCAAAAAACAAAAGACGAGCAGAGTGGAAATGCCTTGAACTTCCCTTGAAAAAGAGTCTTACTTCTCTGGTTTCGAAGAATGAAATTTGAAAATGAACACAAAATGCACAAGATTTGAGAAGGGTGGAATTTAGAACACATTCTCTTCTTTCGCTTTTCAAGTTCTGTGGAGTTTGGTGGTTGAGACGCTGCGTTCGGCAAGTAAAATCCAAGAATGCGCTTGCTTGTGTGTTCTTTTCTTGGCGCAGCAGTTCTCTTGAGTCCACGTCTTAGTCTTCGGTCTTGTTGTAGGCAGTTTTCAGTTTTTGTCTTGGCTAGAAGGATCAACGATTTCCAGGTTTTGGCTATGCTTAAGACACGTACGAAGGGCAGAGCTGGCCACGGCATCAGAGCGGGCAAGTCAAAGGGGCTGGCACCTCCCAGAGTTTCAGAATCCCGCTCTGAGCAGAGCCCGCTCGCTCAGCGTTCAATAAAAATGGTAGTAGTAGTAGTAGTAGTAGTAGTAGTAGTAGTAGTAGTAGTAGTAGTAGTAGTAGTAGTAGTAGTAGGCGTCGTAGTAGTAGTAGTAGTAGTAGTAGTAGTAGTAGTAGTAGTAGTAGTAGTAGTAGGAGTAGTAGTAGTAGTAGTAGTAGTAGTAGTAGTAGTAGTAGTAGTAGTAGTAGTAGTAGTAGTAGTAGTAGTAGTAGTAGTAGTGTAGTAGTAGTAGTAGTAGTAGTAGTAGTAGTAGTAGTAGTAGTAGTAGCAGTAGTAGTAGTAGTAGTAGTAGTATTAGTAGTAGTAGTAGTAGTAGTAGTAGTAGTAATAGTAGTAGTAGTAGTAGTAGTAGTAGTAGTAGCAGTAGTAGTAGTAGTAGTAGTAGTAGTAGTAGTAGTAGTAGTAGTAGTAGTAGTAGTACTAGTAGAAGTAGTAGTAGTAGTAGTAGTAGTAGTAGTAGTAGCAGTAGTAGTAGTAGTAGTTGTGGTAGTCGTAGTTGTGGTAGTAGTAGTTGTGGTAGTAGTAGTAGTGGTAGTAGTAGTAGTAGAGTAGTAGCAGTAGTAGTAGTAGTAGCAGTAGTAGTAGCAGTAGTAGTAGTGGTAGTAGTAGTGGTGTAGTAGTAGTAGAGTTGTAGTAGTAGTAGTCGTAGTAGTAGTAGTAGTCGTCGTAGTAGTAGTAGTCGTCGTAGTCGTAGTAGTAGTAGTCGTCGTCGTAGTAGTAGTAGTTGTAGTAGTAGTAGTCGTAGTAGTAGTAGTAGTCGTAGTAGTAGTAGTAGTTAGTAGTAGTAGTAGTAGTAGTAGTAGTAGTAGTGGTAGTAGTAGTTGTAGGAGTAGGAGTGTAGTAGGCGTAGTAGTAGTAGTAGTAGTAGTAGTAGTAGTAGTAGTAGTAGTAGTAGTGTAGTAGTAGTAGTAGTAGTAGTAGTAGTAGTAGTAGTAGTAGTAGTAGTAGTAGTAGTAGTAGTAGTAGTAGTAGTAGTAGTAGTAGTAGTAGTAGTAGTAGTAGTAGTAGTAGTAGTAGTAGTAGTAGTAGTAGTAGTAGTAGTAGTAGGTAGCAGTAGTAGTAGTAGTAGTAGTAGTAGTAGTAGTAGTAGTAGTAGTAGTAGTAGTAGTAGTAGTAGTAGTAGTAGTAGTAGTAGTAGTAGTAGTAGTAGTAGTAGTAGCTCATTGGCTCAGCTGGCCCTGACCTAACCCGTAGTTGGGGCCTGTTGGATCGTGTTTTTCGAGGCCGCTACGCCCTGTAGTGACTTTGCCTAGAGGTTCCAGACCCCCGGTAATCCTGGTGTTTTCTCTCCGCTAGGAGAGTCGCCCGCGCCCATGGCTTCAGGAAGTCCCATGCCTATCGGAACCGCCTACGATCCCGCTATGGAGGAGTACTGCTCCAGCTGGGCCCAGCTGGTCAACGCCCATCGAGAGCGCATCGCCTTTCTGCAGGGCACGCCCGTGCACACGAGCCCGGACTGCCCGCCAAGAGGCCCTCACACGGGACACACTGGAAGCCCATGCTCTCCGGCAACACGCTTTGTGCCTTTCAGCCTCGATGGCCTACCGGAAGGCCCTGCGCCCACTGGATGCCCGACTACGTCGCCGACAAGATCCTCACAGCCTGCAGTTGCTCCGCCTCTATCGGCCCAGCACCTTTCTTCAGATGCCCTTGCGCCCACTGGATGCCCAGGAGAGCCTCCCGCCTCCTCGTCTGACTTGCAGCACAATTTGCTCCTCGCGATGTTTTTCGGCACAACCAGCTTCGCGCCCAGGACATATTGTCCCGCATGCTCAGCCAACAGGCTGAGCACTTCAGGAGACACCTCTCGGTCTCCCAAACACGGCTCGATGCCGCCCATAACGATGCCCTAAACGCCCTAGCCCGCCTCAGGGATGACCCAGACTGCCTAGCCTCGGACTTCCTGGCCTATAAAATCCGAGCCGAAGCCGATTTTCAGCGCCTTAATGCCACCTGCGAGCCCATGCCAATGCAGGTTAACATTGTTAGACGTATGGCTACCCTGCCCTACAACGCCCATCTGGCACCCTCAAGACCTTCCAGATTCCTGCAGATAGGTCGGCTGAAGCCAATCCTCTAGCCCTATTTCGCCGAGAACTCATTGACCTAGAGCAAAGAGTCAACCGCTTAGAACGCACTTTGCCCCCATAGTCAACACCCCTTGCCCTCGGCCCAGGTGACGACCCGCAGCTCATGTGGCTTGCAGCTCTCAGCCTCGCACCTCTCACTCCGACACATCAGCGAGCCCATGGCCGACCGTGCCCACACCGAGTGCCCTTGGAACACCGAGCCCTGGAGTTGCACGGAAGACAGCAGTGACTCCGGGCCGGATCCCACTGCGGCGTCCGCCCACGACGCCTACACCCACAGTTTCGCACTTGCCCAGGTTCGCCAGCCTCAGACACAGCCCATGCATGATGCCGCTCAGCAGCCCATGATGCTCAGGCCTAAAGCCCCTCCACCTCAGCATCTCCTGAGCAACGCAGCGCAAATGCTGCCGCCACTGCCTGCCGGCCCACGACATCGTTCGGCCTCCGGCCACATGCCCGCCTTGCCCGCTCCGCCCTTTTGTGCCAGATACCAGAACCTCCCATGCCGCCGACAATGTGCCTTGCACATGACGCCTCTCCAGCGCACACACGCCCACGTGCCTGTGGCCGCCTTGCTGCCCCTTCAAGTCCGCTTCCAGCATCTGGTCGGACTCAGCCGCCTTGCCTCGGCCATCTGGTTGTGCCTGACGCCTCAGTCCAGACACGCCTTCCACGCTGCCAATTGGCGGACTGCCTCAGACTGCCGCTGGTACTTCGCCGGCCTGCCCATGCCTGCCAGCAACGCCGACTCTGCCTCAGAGTACTGCACCAGCACATCTGCCTCGGATGTTTAAATGCGACCGCGCCTTGCAGACAGCCCAGCCCAGTGCCTGTCTCAGACTTCCCCGCCCGAAGTGCCCCTGCCCCCATGCACAACCCTTGTCTCTGACCTAGGTTTTCCCACATCATGGCCCTCGATGACTGGCGCCTTTAGACAAGGACTCTGCCTCAGAGCCCCTTTGTTGCGCATCTGCCTCAGATGTTCATGCCGCCAGCCTTCACATATGTCAGTCAGCCCAGTGCCTAGCTTAGCCATCCGCCAGGTTCTTTTCTGTTTTGGCTTGCCAACCCGAGAAACCTTCTGTGCTGTGTTGCCCAGGTGTTGGACTACTTCGACTGGGACATGACGGACAAGGTTTTCGTCTACTCTATGCCCCTAGCCCAGAGGCGCGTACGATTGCTTTGTCTTGCATGTCGTTTTGCCTTTTGTCAGTTGCATGTACTGCCCGCTTTTCTGCAACTCCCAGCTTCTCTACATGCCTCACACAGCGATTTCCTCTCGAGCGCCCAGCATTCGCCTTCTCAACTGCCGATTCAGCATCGCCATGTCCGGCGACAACGCAGCCACTCTTGCCCAGTTCTCTGCCATGTGCGCTCGACGAGCCAGCCAGGCAGCCCCTACTGTCCAGCGTGCCTGCCCCATCCAGCTCCGCTCCTCCTGCAGTGCCTTCCACGCCCACAGCCAACACTGCCCAGGAGGCCCACACAGCCGATGAGAGCCCCGCCAAGCCCACTACCAAAGCGCCACCTGAGATTGTCACTGGCGAAGCTCCACCCTCCCAGCCCATGCTCTCAGCCCAGCAAGCCCAGGAGCTCCAGGACCTCAAGGCCGCCGCCTTGGCCCCGCCGTCAGGGCACTCTGGACAGCGCCGCCCAGATTGTCCAAGAGCCCAGCACAGCCAGCTCCTCGGCCCAGCCCAGTGCTTGGTGGGGGGAACCTGGATACCAGGATCGCCGGCACGATCTCACTTTCCTGACCCCCTCACAGAATGCATCTGGACGCCAGGGCACCTGCCCGTCATGGGCCGACTGCCTCGATGAAGCCACAGCCGCATGTGCCGCATTCCATGCCGGCCCGCCTATCGCCCCGGATCCAGACCTCGAGGAGCAGAGCCCCCCGCCGCAGCCCACCTCTCCTTGCCCTCCATGCACTGTCCCTTTCTGGCTCACCTTTGAAAGTGAGCCCGCCTCTGGCCCAGGTGGCCCAGCCGCGGTGCCCTCGCCCGCGCAGCCCACTCCAGCCCCGCCTCGTGGCAACGCCGAGCCGCCCCAGACGACAGCCACACCCCCTACCCAGCCTGCGCCGGCGATGCCCAAGCCTAAAGCCGACCCACCCCAGCTGGGGCCCGCCCTCTCCTGCCTAGACATGGACAACTACCGCATTGAGAGGGACGCCAGGGGCCGGATTCACGACGTACTGATGGCCTATGCCTACCGTGGCCTCGCCTCCGCCCGCTTCATGATGGACAATGAGTCCTTCACGGTTGTCTCATATCCTTTTGACAACCCGCCCACTGTGCCTCCGCCCACGAGAGAGCCAGCCCCTGCCCAGTCTACTTCGAACGAGCCCGTGCCGGCCCAGCAGGCCCCCGCGCCCACCACCTCGGAGACCACGGCGGGCCCAAAAGACGAAGCTGACACTGATCTACTTGGCCTAAACTCCGAGGACGGGGATGCCAACAGGCCTCGCGGGTCGAGTTTCCCCGACCCCGCTCTTTCAAGCCCAAAGCCCAGGCAGATCGCCTCCAGCCCACTCCTCGACTGCTCATTGGCCAGCCGCCTGACAGACGGTACAGAGGTTGTACCATTCTGCCCAGCACGTGCCTGCCCGACACCTTCAGGTTTGCCCAGGTCTGCTATGTGTCGCCTACGGTGCGCAAGGCCCTGCAACACCCCGCCCTATTGCCCATACGGCCTAGTCTGCGCCCAGCAGATGAACAGCCCAGACGAGGCCCATGAGCGACACCAATGCAGCAGGTGTCACGAATTCGACAAACACCGCGAGTCGGTGTGGGAACATTTCCTCAGCCCATCCGGCCCATG